AGGATGCTAAGTGTTATGAATAAGCCAGTTATGAAATGATAAGTGTTTTAGTTCATCGACATGCAGTACCTGAGATGGTCAGGTTGATAGAAACCCAAAATAGAATGGTGACTGCCCAGCAGAGGGAGAAGAGAATAAACATCCGCGTTTAAGGGGCAAAGGATTTCCAAACCATACAGGTGGAGAAGTTTCCGTGACCCATTGCTGAGCAATGTGAGTAGGAGTACCACTATACTGTTCACGTAAAAGCTGTGATGCTGGGAAATGCTGTTTTAACGTTTTAAACCATAATTTTATCAAGTGGCAAAGTATACATTTGTGTGTATAAAGACAAACAGACGTCTATATGTGTTTGTACACATATATCTCAAATTGGTCAACGACTTGAAGTGTTTCAAAACTTCATTAACATGAAGGCTAAAAAGAGACACCCGTGCTGCCAGCGGTAGCCTTTAACATCTGGGGAGCTGTCCTTTTCCCCTAAACCGATCCCCCGTGTGCCCGTGCTCCAGGGTTCTCCTTCAGGTGTCTGAGTCATCTCTGCAGCTGCAGCATGGAGTCTCGGAACCATTTCTATTGCACAAAAGCTACTAAGCCTCAAAGGATGGAGCTCTCCTGCCCACCCTAAAGGTGGGAATGCCCCAGCACAATGACACTGTTCCCAGCAGCAACTCTGTTGGGGCTTCCGGTGATCAACTATCTAAATGGAAGCTTCAGTTTTCCTGGTTTCAAATAGTTTCCTTGAAGCCTACCGGTAGAGTCTGCCTGCCACTCTGCCATTCTTAGAGTCTGCCTGCCGTTCTGATCCGGGCCTTGAGAGCAAGTATGCAGCTGCTGAAGGAAGAGTGTTGGAGTTTGATTTGAGGATGACTGTGATCTCAGCATTTTTTTTTTTGCTCCTAGATTCTAGTAATGAATTTTGACATATATTTCTATTTATTAATCAAATTTATTATCATGATTTTCTATGGTAAAAGCCATTGTATGGGAAATATCTTGAAGGAACCATACCACCTAATTGTTTAAACATACCAGGAGAGGCCCTTAGATGTTTTTTTGTGAGCAATAAAAAAAAAATTCTCTTCTGCATCAAGTAGAAATAATCTCCCAGTTTCTAAACATTTGTGACGAGATGTGCCCTAGTGCCAAAAAGGTGTGTGTGTGTGGGGGGGGGGGGCATGTCTTTCTCATTCTCTGATCCTCGTTCACTGTAACTGTACCAGTTTGGCCTCATCCACAGCCGGCAAAGGCTGGATTTCTTATTCGTGGTGTTTCTTCCTCCTCCTACCCCGAAGTAGGCGCTTAGTTAACTGATTATAGAATCATAAGGTTGGCTATAATTCCATTTCTCCTTCTGACTTTGAACTTAAGTGTTCCAATTACTTTGCCCGATCCTAATAAGTCAGTAGCGTGCAAATGCTTGCCTTGATATTGCTGAAATATACAGGGCTGTGATTAGCATGGGATTGCATCATTAGAAAGCAAAGTTGAAAGCGGATGAGCAAAATCATCGCTTGCAGTGAAGTAAAACCGCCTGTTCCGAGGACTTACAATGTTACTGTGATCCTAGAGACTCTTGGCGCTATGACTAAATATTATATTTGGGGGAAAAAAATCCTCTGATGTTCCGGAACCTTCTGGCTCTATCCATTACTGAAAGAGAAAAGATTTTACAGAAGGACAAGCCCACTCTAATACACAGCTTTGATGGCTCTTCAAGACCAATAGAGCTAAAGACACAAAAGAATCCTTATACCACAAAAGGGGGGGAGGAATGGAAAGAGGGGATAACAGGGACGAGGAAAGGGAGAGAAGGGTAGGAAGGAACTTCAGTCAATTCTGTTAGAATAAAACATAAAGTTAGAAGGCTTTACAGCAAGCCTGTGGGATGAAAAAGAAAAACAATCTCTCTCTCTCTCTCTCTCTCTCTCTCTCTCACACACACACACACACACTCACACACACACACACACACACACTCACAAACACATGTAACAAATGAGATACTAAAAAAAAACTACATCAGCACTGATGGTGTTATCTGAATTGACTCCTTTTCTTCTCTGTGTTACTGGGAATCATGTAAACTTTTGGAAACTAGGTAAGGGTGACCAGGAAATGCTTTCCATTAGGAATGAGCCACAGCCAAATCAAACGATAAGTGGAAGGGGGGAAAGATGGCACAACTGGAATTGATACCAAAGATTTATAAGGTTGATTAAACAAAACCGGAGTGGATCGCAGTGGAAATGTCCGAATATTGAAATAGGCAAGATATGAATAGACTAATGATCTGCCTCCCTTCGACTGACAGTGTTGGTAACAGGTGTGACACTCCATCTACACCAGCATCTACGCGTCTAACATGTTAGCCCAGGAAACAGGGGCTGGGTTTAATGATTCCCTTAGTAATCGCTTACAAGCAAAATACGTCTTCCAATATTAAAAGAATATGAACTCAATTCTCATCTACTTAAAAAAAAGCAACACAACAAAACAGGCTTATGCATTTGCGTTCTGGATGTGAGGAGCCGCAGTTAGCTGAAGTCATTCTCTTGGGCTTTTCGGTGGTCTTTGTTCTAATAAAACCCCCTCACAAAACTGAATTCTGGTGTGGCTTATCTCCCACACTTAGTATTTGGAGTGTGACCACCATTCATTAGAAACATAACTGAGGAGACCCAGCATTAGGTCCCTACCCCCACCACATACAGAAGAAACCAATAAACCTTAATCTATTTGTTTCCATGGCTACCATAGGATGTTTTATTTCAGTAAAACTCTTAGGTATTTCGTTTGGATTGTTGCTTGCGAATGAAAGTTGGAGACCGATTCATTTCCATAACTATAGCGGAAATGGGACGACTGGACCAAAGACAATGTTTTTCTTCATAATGGACTAATAAGATCCTTGTGTAGAAAAGTTATTAAAAATGGCTAAATACATCAGCCCATAAGCCAAATTAAACATTATTAAATTCTTATAGGGTTTAAGGGCATACATGCTACTGATTTCCTGATCTGTAGCAAGGTGATAAATCTAATGCACTCCAGAACAATATATGGGACCATAGACACTGTGACCCCACTACTCTAGACATGTAGGAACATACAGACTGGGTGTCAAATGCATGCATGACAACCAACCCTTAAATTATGTGTTTAGCAGATATGTTTTCTCTAAGTGTCAAGACGAACAATCTGTACAGTTGTTCAGCCCCCCTCCCCGCCCCAGTGAAAAATAATTAAAAAGTTAGCTCTCCATCTCCCCCCTTAATTTAAATTTAAAAAGTCAGGAATGAGATAGGCTAATTAAATGTGCTGTCATTCATCCCGAACGGAAAGAATTTCTCAAATCTGCCCTCCCCAGCCTGAGTTGGCAGTAAGACCACTCGGCAGAGGAGAAACTCTGTAGCGACTAGACAAATGGCTTTAAAGAGAATGAAATGAGGATAAATACAGCTGTAACCAGGACAGATCCATCACAGCAAGAGGAGTCCGAATCCTAGCGTTGCTCAGCTGAGGAGGGGCTGGAGACTGCAGCGGCAGAGGAACCTGATTGTCCCAGAGCTGAGGAGTGGAAGTTTCTCGGCAGCCGCAGCCGGCGTCCTCCACGTCTAGTCCCTCCGGTGAAGAGGTCTCGCCTAACGCTACATAAATATCTGCGTTCACGATTCGCCCCGGGCGCACCGCGTTGCAAACACCACAGGGAAAGAGGATACGCTTCGCAGAACCGCGCGTGTGGCAGCAGCGGCTGTACCTCACTCATCATCATCCCTGGGGACCTACAGGAGATCTGTCAACTGACCGCCGCTGCCTTTCGATTCCAGAGGCCAGCGATGAGAGAGAACGTGCTTCTCAGCAGGCGGACCCAGGCATCCAAGACTCACGCTTTGCAGTCGCCCGCTCCTCTGAGAACAGCCGCAGGCAGGCGGTGCGTCTCCGCCTTCGCCAGGCGATGCACACCGAATCTGCCCCGGGAACAGCCTCGGACCGAAACTGGGCTCTGGGCTCCGCGATCTGGGCTGCAGCGAGCACGCCTCTCCCCCCCCCTGGGGCCTGGGGCCGACACTGCCCAGCGCCAGCACCCGCGCGCGACCGCAGATAACCCTCCTGCGTTCGGCCAGCTCCAGGCCACGGAGATCCGAACGTGAGCCCGCGGCCAGCCCGCACCGCCGGTGGCAGTCCGGGCGCGCGGCCACACTCCTACCTACGTGTCTCCTGGTCCACTATCCCACACATAAACAACCCCTCCCCACTCGCCACCACCTCCCCGCCCTTCGCATCCTCGAAGCTGTCCTCCCACCTCCAACCCCCGGCTGGAAACCACAAGGTGTCAAGGGAATGAACGGGAGGTCACAACACGGTCTGTGTGGGTTCCATCCAGATAATTTTCAAGCTCTTCTACCTCGAAAGTTACTTGGGATCCAGTGAAGAAACCCGGTCTTCAAATGCTGGATCTGAGAACGCGAGGGGCAGAACCCATCATCTAGCTTTCCTTGGCACACTGGCGCGCACCTCCCCAACCTGCAGGGCACACGGCCGCCCTGGGGACTTGCTCTCCGGTGCTTCCTGGGCCCCCAGCACTGCTGGGGCCCTGGGCCGGGCAGGGGGAGGTGGCCAGGAGAGGGACGCACACGGCCCAGCCCGGCCCAGCGCTACCCGGTTCCGTTGTCATACTCGCTTCTAGTACCTTTGACCACCGCGACAGTCCCTCCCCGCCCCCAGGCATTCCCTGCATAACACACCCGGAGGCAGGAAGTTTTTTCCCCCTTTTATTCATCCCCAGAGCAGCGCAGGCGCAAGGGTTTCTGCAGGCTTGCGAGTCCAGACGCGGGAGGCTTCAGCTCCAGCCGCCACTGCTGCCAGAGCCTAGCCCAGCATTCCGGGCTCCGGGCCCCGCTCCCAAGTCCTGCCTTGCCCAGTAGCTACCAGGACCCAAGGATCATCCCACACCCCCACTCCGCATCCTAAGAGCCCCAACCTGACCCAGCTCTTACCTGCGGCCGCGCCGCTCCGGTCCCGGCCCGACGCGCAGAGAGCCCAGGGTCGCGGATGGGTGCAGGAGGGCTGATGGATAGGGGACGGCGCCGGCGGGTAGCTGTAGCTGGGGCCGCTCGCGTCCTGGCCGGGAGAAACGGATCCAGGTCCACCTCCTCGCGTTCCTGCTCTCCGCCTTCTCCCCCTTTCCCTCCTCCTCCTCCTCCGCCGCCGCCTCCCGGCAGCCCAGGGAGGATGCCCGGGAGAGGGAAGTCAGTCCTTCTGCCTGTCAGCCTGCGCGGCTATGCGCGGTGCGTCGCGGCTCTCATCGAGGCGGCGGCGGCGGCGGCGGCTCCGGCAGCATCGCCCCCGCCCTCTCCCCGCAGCCGCGGCGGCCGCGGGGCTGGGGCTGGCTCCGGGCTCGGGGCTCGGGCTCCGGGCGGGGGCTGAGCTTAGGCTCGGCGATGGCCGGGGCTGCGGACGTGCGCTGCGGAGCCGAGGCCGGGGCTGAAGCTGCGGCTAGATCGGCGGTGGCAGAGACAGCGGCGACGGCGGCGGCGGCGCGGGGGTTGGCGCGGCCGCGGCGCGGGGACCATGCTCCCTTCTGGCTCGCTCCTCTCCGGGTACCGTCTGCTTTAGCTGCGAGGGAGGCGGGCTTCGGCGCGCAGCCAGGGGCGGGCGGAGCCAATCACGGGCGCCCGAGTAGGCGGGGGCGGAGGGTGGGGGAGGCGGGGCGCCCCCGGCCCGGCTCGGCGCTCGGCTCCCGGGGCCCCAGGGATCCCCGGCAGTAGCGCGCCTGGCTCCCGGCTCAGTGCCAGCGGGTGTGTCCATCGTCGGTCCGCCGCCCCCGCCCCCTGCGATGACTCCCGGCTGGCCCGGCTCAGTGGCCGCACCCGGCAGACTCACGGCGCGTGGCTGGGCTGCTGGGCCATGGCCTCAGGCTTCCGAGAGCCCGGGGGTTGAAAGATCCGGAATGAAGAGAGCTTCCCTTCTGCTCTCAACACCTGAGGAAACTGGTGGAAAGTTTGAGAAAGAGAAGTCCAATCATCTTTCCGCTTCCGCCCTCCCTATGACACTCCGGCCACGAGAAGGAGCAGGAAAGGGCCCCATCTCCGAAGGACCACCGCAAGCCACGCCAGTCCTATCCCCTTGCATTTGCCTGACTGCTGAGCATCTGAGAACTTTCCTCTTTTTACAGACCTCCCTGGGTTGTTCAGACCACACAGGCCTGGCTGCCTATTCTGACCCTCCAGACGCAGCGCCAGCCAGCCAGCCCTCCCAAGGTCCACACTGAGTCTTCCCCTCCCCTCTGCATGCTGTCTACGTAGACCCTAACTGGAACCCTAAGAGGAAACTTTGGCTGGAGACCTGTGGCTATCCGGTGTGGGCTTTTTCATCTCGCCAGAGTGATTCTTTTCGGTCCAGACTTCCTTGGCTTGCTAACTCTGCAGGTCTATCTCTTATTTCCAGTCGCCCCCAACCTCTCCCACGCCTGTTTTGAGATTCAGAGGAAAAGTCTGTGACTCCCCTCCATCCTCCAGACCAGTTTGAAGATTATGGTCAGTGGGGTCATTCCCCCCACTTCATTTCTCTTCACCCATAACATCCCCCCACCCCAGGAAAATACTCTGAGGCCTAAGGTCTGGTTAGAAATTGGAGATGGGTGCCTGAAACAGGGGAGGGACATAGCTGGTTCTTAGGTCTGATCTGGGAGGGCCGCCCTGTGGAGGAGGCGTTGCCAGCATTCACTCCAGTCTACCAGAGAAGACAGAGAACTTGTCCGTGGTTCTTCCTCTCAGCGGCCTCATGTGATGTCGGCTGCACAGCTCTGCAGTCTTGGCTGTAAACTCAGTGCAGGGGTTGTATATCCTTTAATATCTTGTAGGCAGCACAGTATAGTGTCATGGCTGATAAATAATAAATAATAATCATCTACTGAGGGTAGCGGGAGAACTGTCAGCAAAGAAGGAAGACACTGGGGAGATGGTCCGATGGTGTTAGAGTAACTGCATTTCCTGGAATAAATATCAGATAAAAGTTTTGGTGTATGAAGGCTTGAAAGCCTTGGGTTGGGGGTATAGAGTGCTTGCATCCAAGAGGAATCTACCCCCACGACAGGAAATCCAGGACAGCTGGTGTGACATTAAGGCGGTGACAGAGGCTCTTCAAAGGGAGATGGGGGGGGGCGGATTGAGGGAAAAACAGCTCCTAGAGGTCCTCAAAGTACACCTGATGGTGACTGAAATACCTGAAGGTGGTTTGAATAGCAAGTTGGGAGGTATCAAAATGAGGTCGTAGCCGAGCATAGATAGTAGGGAAGAAAGCTGGGATCACTTGGGGTTCAAAAGAGATGCATAGACAATATCCCAGGCAACTCAGTGCAAAAGAGAAGGAGAACGAAGCCACGGACAAGCTGGTTCTGTGGGACACTGTCCTCTGAGATGATCTGCGTGTGCACACCAACTGTGAACACCGGCTGCATCTTGAGTGCCTTCCTGCGGCAAAGGTTTGTAGGGGCTGGAATAGGTTAAAATCTGGCAGTTTGGAAGTATGTAGTTTCTGACCAATTGCTTTGAACGGCCCTGAAATGAATGAAGAAACAGTCCACTCCAGGAATCCTTCCTGGCCTCTCTTTAGGAGATTTCTCCCAGTTAACTTGCTAAGCATTGCCATAAGAGAGGCAGACTGGAGAAATGCCGAGGGTGCAGGGTCTGGAGTGTTGCAAAACCTCTGGGGTTGGAGCTTGATAACTGCTCGCAAGGGGGTCAAAATGTCCAGGGAAAGAGGTGACCTGTGCGGCTTAGGGTCACAGAGGGTGTGTCCACACTCTCCTCACCCCACCCCCTTTCATCTGAGCCTGAATGCAAATAGGATCTTGAGAGGCCACATTTTCTTTCGTGAAATTCAGTCCAACTATGAGCTATTTGCTGTGAAGCTTGCTGTTTATACAAAGGTCTGCCCCCTGTGCTGGTTAGGTGTTCGTTTGTTGTTGATGATTTGATATAAGCCGGGCGTTTGGTAAGAAGGAGCCTTGTGGTTGAGAAAATACCTCCACCTATACTGCCAGTAGGAAAGTCTGTGGCTTGTCACATGCGGAAAGCGTCCCTGGGGAGTCCAGAAGAGGCTGCTGGTTATGCACAGCCTCAGTTAACAGTGGAGACCCTGTACAGTATGTGGAAGAGGCCAGAACCATGGGCTAACCACCAAGGACAGTGGCATTTGTGGAGGAGACTGGCTTAAGTCTAGAAGGAAAGCTCCATTTCCTGTGGGTGGCAGAGCTGGAGAGGCGGGTCTGCCCAAGTTGTTCAGAGCCCAGAGGATTGTGAGTTCAAGATGTTAGACACTATCATTTACAGTGTTGGAGTCTGGTTTTGCTTTGCTTTGATTGTGACTTCGTGTGCTCTTTCCTTTTGGAGTAAAAAAAAAAAGTATTTAAAGCTGTTTATTATTTATTTATTTAATAGGAATTCACAGTTGAGAAGCTGTGAACTTCAAAAGAGAACTTGGACTTTTAAAATGTTGAAAATTTTAAAAAAATTGGTTATACTGAGTTTTATACTATGTTATTAACAGGAGATCTTGAGATAAGTCAAAGAAAAGGTTTAATAGTGATGTGTTTGTGTTTCAGATTGACAAGAGATGAGTTGTGCTGTTTTTTGTTCTTGTTTTTACCAACTTGACACAAGTCAGAGTTCATTCAGGAAGAAGGACCCTTACGTGAGAAAATGCCTCCATGAGATTGGCCTCTAGGCAAGTCTGTGGGGGCACTTTCTGGATTATAATTATGGTGGTGGGCTCAGCCCATTGTGGGTGGTGCCATCCCTGGGCTGGCGGTCCTGGGTTCTGTAAGAAAGCAGTGTGAGCATGTGGAGCAAGCCAGTAAGCAGTACTCCTCCATGGTCTTTTCAGTGTCTCTCTCTAGGCTTCTGCCTTGAGTTCTTGCCCTGACTTCCCTTCCTGACTGTAAGCTGTAAAATGAAATAAGCCCTTCTCCCCCACTTGCTTTTGGCTATGGTGTTTATCTCATCAATAGAAAGCAGCTGAGGACAGCCCTGGACTACTCATGAGCTCTGTTTCATCTGAGTCATTGTAGTTCATTCCTCCATTCCCATTGCTCCTAGGGTTTCAGGTCTATGTGGTGTGAGGAATCTCTTACTTGCTTTCATAGGTCTCACTTACGTCTAGGTCTCTTCTGGGTTGTTCACTTTGGTTGTTTTGTGTTTCCCTTGGACAAGATTCACATTTGGCATGGATCTCTCTGCAGGGTACTTGGGAATTGTTGGCTATGTGTGTGCATGGAGACATCTCTGGCCATAGTTGTGGATTTCTCCATTGACGTTCCCATAGCCAACTCTTCCTGTGCTGACCCACGAGTTCTAGGGTCAGGATTAATATGCATTCCTCAAGTGGGTGGCTTAGGAAAGAACGGACTCATAATACGTGTGTGGGGGGGTACATTGGAATACTCCAGAACATTCATTTTTCTACTTAGAGCATATGACATTCTTTGTGCGGCCAAGCAGACAACAGCTTTGTGCTGGAAAGTCCCTGCTCTTATCTGCAGGAAGCCACCATCAGGATGATCAGAGAGTCACATACACCTTCTGTGCCAGGATGGACTTCTCCATTTATTTGTGTCTATAGCAACCACCTCAATAGCATAATCACTTACTTGGTGGCTACCGCATGCGGAGTGCTGTGCCAGTGTCAGTGTCTCTTATTAATGATACCTTGTCAGTCATCACAGACACCTGCGGAATTGATATTATTAACTGCCTAAGTTCAGGGAGGGTAAGATGAGTTCCTGTGGTCACACAGCAAGCAAGTAACAGAGCTGGAATTTCAGTGTGCTTACTTCCAAAGCCATTAGTCGCCCCCACCCCCCATACACACACACACTGTACTGAAAACACCAATGCAATTTCTTTTGCTGCTAACCCAGCATCTTCCCCTTGCAGTGGACACTATGGATGCTGATTTTTGCCTTTATTCTTAGTCCGTTCTGAACCCAGAACGAGAAACAGCTTTGGAATCCAGAACACTCATAGAGAAGAGGCAAGTGTCTCGTTGATTAGTGAATGCATGGGTTCCTTGGAAGAGCGGAAGCCTCGTCAGAATCCTCAGGTTCGACAGGACATCTGTCCCCAGCAGTACAGTGGATATAAACAGAGCAGCTGCCAGGGTCTGCTGGCTGGAGTTTGTGCTTCTATCGCGAACCTGTTTTTCTAATATAGTGCTCCACTAAAACCACCCCTACTTGGCATCTCAAGCTTTAATCAATCCAACCTAACCAACTGTTCTTCCAGTGGCTAAATCAGTCTACAAAAATCTGTTTCGCACCTTCTGTGTGTCCTGCAATCCAACCCCACACCATTGATTGAGACAGGGATTTCAGTCCCAATTGCTGAAGTCTTCCTGGGGCCACCTTGCTCTGTGATGTGTCACAAAGACACGTGCCAAACACTTAAACTGGGGACTATTTAACTGCGTAAGATAGTTGGTTATCATCATTTTACCCTGCTTACTCCCCAAAGGGATTAAGGCAACTAAATAACATTTTTGACTTGTTCTTGACAAGGGTTAAAATAACAACAGTGTTAGCAAGAAATATAACTTAGTGTTCAGATGTGGAGGAGGGTCTCCAGATGTGAAGGGGAGTCACAGACGTCTCTAAGAGCAAGGCTGGTCAGGGGGGCTTCTTGGAAGGTCAGGGTCTAGCAGATCTGGGGTGGTAGACGCATTGGATTAAGGATTACTCTGAAGATAGTTTCCGAAGCATCACTTATTGCTAAAAGCCATTGGGGGTCTGAAAATGAAAGTATAATTCCTCTGTTGCCTACATCAGTGAAATATTATATTCT